TGACTGCTAACTCCGGTGGAATGTTCTGGTTCGTCCACATCTGGACTTTAAGTCTTGTTCCACATCTATTCTACAGATCTGGTTTATTTGCAGTTGCTGGTTCCTTGCCTGTCAAACAGATGCACTTTGACTTCATTAAAGGAAACATCCCTAAACAGTCACCTTGTACAACATGCTTATTAAGGAGGCACTGGGTTTATTCCCCCCCCCCCCCCCTGCTTTTTCATGAATGGGACCCTGGGGAGTGTCAGATTTCTCTAGATTTCTGGGATGCTGTTCTCAGTCAGTGAAGTCAACAAAGGAGCCACTCCCAAGCCATGAGGTATCAATCAATCAGGTGCCGTCTCCACAATGAAGGTTGGCTGCAATGGATCTCCAACAAGCCCTGTCTCTTGCCCTTGATGTACACTTGCTCATACTGCTGTTCGTCCATCTTTTGATGTTATCCTCCCATTTGTAACGCTGTCTGCCTCTTGCTCACCTACTTTGAACTTTTCCCCTTTAGGATCTTCTTCTTCTTCACTTCCTCTTTTACCGCTGTGGGTGTCAAGGGAGATATAAGGTTCTGTTTCTGGCTCTTCTGGCTGCCTCGACCATAGGCACATCGTGCTGTTATAGAGCTTCTCTGATGTTATCCTTCCATATTGTTCTTGGTCTACCTTTTGCTCTCCGTCCTTCTTCTCTTTCCATGTATGCTTTGTATGGTATGGTGTCACAAGGCATTCTCTCTAAGTGGGCAAACCATTTCACTCCCCTTTAGGATGATCTTTACAATATTGTTATGTCTTTTAATGTGACCAAAATATTTCACTTGTCTCTTTTTTATTTCACCTAGCGACTCTCTTTTCATTCCCAATTTCCTCAGTACCTCTGTATTTGATAGTTTTTGTTTCCATGAAATACGACCTAATCTTCTGTATATCCACATCTCCAAAGAATTGATACGATTTTCCAGTTATTTGTTCATTGATCTAAATTCATATTCTTTGCCTCAGAAATTAAACAGTCAAATTTTCCGACTTGATATAACGTTCTAACATTCCATGTGCCAATGAGAAGACATCTCTTTCTACTTTTCAGATATGCGTTGTCAGAATGTGCCCTTTCAGAAGAATTTAAGGTCATTATGCTCTACCCTAGTCAACAGAGGATTTGTCTCTTCCCTGTTTGTATTTACAACAGGCATTACTCCAGGGGACCAAGATGTGCCTGCATCGCTTTTTCTAACTTGTTGTGCTTCCATTACTGTCTTTGGGTGCTACGTGGTAAAGTCCCAATCTTTTCCACGATGGCCAGCCATGTTTTCCTTCATGTCCCAACACGCCTCATGTGTGCCACACACTTTGCTGTTTCTCTTTGCAAGCCGTTTATCTATATAATTAGATTCTTCCGCCTTGCTTACCGTCCCAGTCTTTGTGTACTAGGGATGGGCATCTCCCTTAGTAGGATATTACTCCCACTTCACTCATGTAGTTTAGCCAGTCAGCCAAGACTGTTGCCCGTCGTGTGGCCACCGCCGTACACAAGCGGTATTCGTGGAGCCATACATGAGCTAGGTAAAGAGATGGGAACCAAATAGGATCCTGGACTATCGATACAGATATGGCTACCACTCACCGTGAGATACTATCTCTCTCTCTTTACCCTACACCATATACTGGACTCTAGATTTCTGGTATGCTATTCTCAGTCAGTGAAGTCAACAAAGGAACCACTCCCAAGCCATGAGGTATACTGGACTCTAGATTTCTGGTATGCTATTCTCAGTCAGTGAAGTCAACAAAGGAGCCACTCCAAAGCCATGAGGTATACTGGACTCTAGATTTCTGGTATGCTATTCTCAGTCAGTGAAGTCAACAAAGGAGCCACTCCAAAGCCATGAGGTATACTGGACTCTAGACTTCTGGTATGCTGTTCTCAGTCAGTGAAGTCAACAAAGGAACCACTCCCAAGCCATGAGCTATACTGGACTCTAGATTTCTGGTATGCTATTTTCAGTCAGTGAAGTCAACAAAGGAGCTAATCCCAAGCCATGAGGTATCCTGGACTCTAGATTTCTGGTATGCTATTTTCAGTCAGTGAAGTCAACAAAGGAACCACTCCCAAGCCATGAGGTATACTGGACTCTAGATTTCTGGTATGCTGTTCTCAGTCAGTGAAGTCAACAAAGGAGCCACTCCCAAGCCATGAGGTATACTGGACTCTAGATTTCTGGTATGCTGTTCTCAGTCAGTGAAGTCAACAAAGGAGCCACTCCCAAGCCATGAGGTATACTGGACTCTAGATTTCTGGTATGCTGTTCTCAGTCAGTGAAGTCAACAAAGGAACCACTCCCAAGCCATGAGCTATACTGGACTTACAGTTCTAGCCTCTTTTTTTTTTTTTAACCAGTGAGCACTTAATGTGGTGAGTACCCAACTAACCACCTTTATTTCACATAACATTTCCTGGCAAACTGATTCTGTCAACATGTTTATGTAAGAAGATGGTGAAAAGATGGGTTTGAAGATAGTGATTACAGTCTCTCAGGAAATCTTATCTGACAGGAATACATTTCATTTGTGTGCCTCCCCGTGTCGATTTAGGGGCTCCATTTAAAAATAGGCCCACTGGCCCTCCCCTCCCCTCAGACAAGCAAGTAGTACAAGGTGACTAGTTAGAAATGTTTCCTCCAAAGTCAGAGTGCATCTACCTGAAAAGCAAGGAACCAACAGTCTGCATACAAATAATTGCGAACTGTGAAATGCATATACGCACAAAATGAAAGTTCTGGACACCAACAACCTTTCTGCTTACAGCCGGTGAATACGAACGAACGAACGAACGAACTTTATTTTCAAAGGGTCACAAATTGGGCACGCAGGCCCGTCTTACATTCGGCCCTTCCAGTCAACCATCTTTCGCACAGCAGTTGTATTTTACTAATAAAGCATGTTATGATCATATGATGATATGCATATTATGAATATTATAAAAGAACACAAAAGCGTGAGTTGTAAAGTGCATGCAAAAACCCGCGCGTGCATACATACACCGACATACACGCGCTCACCCACTCACTTACACACACAAACATGCATGCATACATTACATACATACATACACAGATACATACAAACAAACATGCATACCAAGAAATAAGAAGAAGATTTTTGTACCAGGATACTCTGTGATAACAGGGAATAAACAAGCTGATTGCCTTACTGGCAGGGCCGTGGTAGGTGCAGGACAAGTTGTGGGCTGAGCCTATATTCTCAGTGCTCTCAAGTAGGCAGGACAAGTTGTGGGCTGGGCCTATGTTCTCAGTGCTCTCAAGTAGGCAGGACAAGTTGTGGGCTGGGCCTTTGTTCTCAGTGCTCTCAAGTAGGCAGGTCAAGTTGTGTGCTGGGCCTTTGTTCTCAGTGCTCTCAAGTAGGCAGGACAAGTTGTGGGCTGAGCCTATGTTCTCAGTGCTCTCAAGGAGGCAGGACAAGTTGTGGGCTGGGCCTATGTTCTCAGTGCTCTCAAGTAGGCAGGACAAGTTGTGGGCTGGGCCTATGTTCTCAGTGCTCTCAAGGAGGCAGGACAAGTTGTGGGCTGGGCCTATGTTCTCAGTGCTCTCAAGTAGGCAGGACAAATTGTGGGCTGAGCCTTTGTTCTCAGTGCTCTCAAGTAGGCAGGACAAATTGTGGGCTGAGCCTTTGTTCTCAGTGCTCTCAAGTAGGCAGGACAAGTGTATGATTCAGCAGATGACTGAGAATCGGCAACCTTGATAAGACTAACAGAATTTCATATTAAAAGAAATGTAACCAAATAAATATGAACATTTTTACAAATAGCAAAAAACAGTAAAACAACACGATACTAAAGATGGGATCTGAGCGCCTATGAACATGTCCAGTGTGAGTGACTGGTTGATCAATTAATAAACTAACTAAGATTTCCTGGCACTAAGTTAAGCTTACAGAAGTAAATATTCGGACTATGTATTTTTATGTTGAAGTATTTGGAGGTGTATTGTAGACCATTTTGTAGACAATCAAGTTTATCAAGGCACTTGAACTGATCTGTTACATAAGAGCTTTTAGAATACCTTATATCGCCAAGAAATACAGTTAAACCATTTGCAGGATATAAAAAATGGATGAAGCTGACAGTTAATGTGTACATTGTTTCAGAAAGTGAACTACTTTGTCGACAGTGGACACCACACTGGTTTAGAGAGAACTGTACTGGAAGGTATGGTTTATGGTTTCTGATAGACTACGGGGAGATTAGATAGACTGTAACCAGATATCTTAGATCTGAGATGTTCAGCTTTTTAGACATTTGGTTCTCCACAGAAAGTCTGCAAGCTTTTGAAGAACCAGTCAGTGTGAACAACTTCAGAGTAGCAGTCTTAGCTTTACCATCCATATCTGTGTTGTCACAACTGAAACCAGTAGCTCTGGAAGATCCGTTGTTGGCACCTGATGGCACCAGATGGGAGAAAGAAGATTTCCACAGGTATGTCAGTTACTGATGATGCAGTTTGTCATTTCCTGTTGTTGCTAGTGGTTCTGCAGTATTTGGACCTCTGCCTGCTGTCTTGGCATTGCCAAGGGAATATCTTGGCTTTGTTTCTTAAATAAGAAACCAGAAATATAACATCCTTGAATCAAAGATAGCAGGCGCTTCAGTGCACTTGTGGTTTTCTATACATGAAATGAAAACAATTTTACGGGATTGACTTTGGCGAAGGAGGACATGATGACTGCAAGAAAACATGAAGTATGGGTCAGCTTGACAACAATACAACAACAAAATGTAATCCTTGAGCTGCTGACTGTTTTTCTTGGCTTGAGTAAATAATTGTTTTGTAACTCTGTGTGTCATAAATTGTTTTGTTACTCTGTGTGTCATAATTTGTTTTGTTACTGTGTGTGTCAGAAATTGTTTTGTTACTGTGTGTGTCAGAAATTGTTTTGTTACTGTGTGTGTCAGAAATTGTTTTGTTACTGTGTGTGCCAGAAATTGTTTTGTTACTCTGTGCCAGAAATTGTTTTGTTACACTGTGTGCCAGAAATTGTTTTGTTACTCTGTGTGCCAGAAATTGTTTTGTTACTCTGTGTGCCAGACATTGTTTTGTTACTCTGTGTGTCAGAAATTGTTTTGTTACTCTGTGTGTCAGAAATTGTTTTGTTACTCTGTGTGCCAGACATTATTTTGTTACTGTGTGTGCCAGAAATTGTTTTGTTTCTCTGTGTGTCATAAATTGTTTTGTTACTCTGTGCCAGAAATTGTTTTGTTTCTCTGTGTGTCATAAATTGTTTTGTTACTGTGTGTGCCAGAAATTGTTTTGTTACTGTGTGTGCCAGAAATTGTTTTGTTACTCTGTGTGCCAGAAATTGTTTTGTTACTCTGTGCCAGAAATTGTTTTGTTACTCTGTGCCAGAAATTGTTTTGTTACTCTGTGTGCCAGAAATTGTTTTGTTACTCTGTGTGCCAGAAATTGTTTTGTCACTCTGTGTGTCATAAATTGTTTTGTTACTGTGTGCCAGAAATTGTTTTGTTACTCTGTGTGCCAGAAATTGTTTTGTTTCTCTGTGTGTCAGAAATTGTTTTGTTACTCTGTGTGCCAGAAATTGTTTTGTTACTCTGTGTGCCAGAAATTGTTTTGTTACTCTCTGTGCCAGAAATTGTTTTGTTACTCTGTGCCAGAAATTGTTTTGTTACTCTGTGTGCCAGAAATTGTTTTGTTACTCTGTGTGTCAGAAATTGTTTTGTTACTCTGTGTGCCAGAAATTGTTTTGTTACTCTGTGCCAGAAATTGTTTTGTTACTCTGTGGTGCCAGAAATGTTTTGTCACTCTGTTTGTGTTGTTACTCAGAAATTGTTTTGTTACTCTGTGTGCCACTCTGTGTGAAATTGTTTTGTTACTCTGTGTGTCATAAATTGTTTTGTTACTCTGTGCCAGAAATTGTTTTGTTACTCTGTTTGTTTTACTTTCATCTGTGTGCCAGAAATTGTTTTGTTACTCTGTGTGTCATAAATTGTTTTGTTACTCTGTGTGCCAGAAATTGTTTTGTTACTCTGTGTGCCAGAAATTGTTTTGTTACTCTGTGTGCCAGAAATTGTTTTGTTACTCTGTGCCAGAAATTGTTTTGTTACTCTGTGTGCCAGAAATTGTTTTGTTACTCTGTGTGTCATAAATTGTTTTGTTACTCTGTGTGTCATAAATTGTTTTGTTACTCTGTGTGCCAGAAATTGTTTTGTTACTCTGTGTCAGAAATTGTTTTGTTACTCTTGTCAGAAATTGTTTTGTTACTGTGTGTAGTGTCAGAAATTTGTTTTGTTACTCTGTGTGTCAGAAATTGTTTTGTTACTCTGTGTGTGCCAGAAATTGTTTTGTTACTCTGTGTGTCAGAAATTGTTTTGTTACTCTGTGTGTCAGAAATTGTTTTGTTACTCTGTGTGTCAGAAATTGTTTTGTTACTCTGTGTGCCAGAAATTGTTTTGTTACTCTGTGTGTCAGAAATTGTTTTGTTACTCTGTGCCAGAAATTGTTTTGTTACTCTGTGTGTCAGAAATTGTTTTGTTACTCTGTGTGTCATAAATTGTTTTGTTACTCTGTGCCAGAAATTGTTTTGTTACTCTGTGTGTCAGAAATTGTTTTGTTACTCTGTGTGTCAGAAATTGTTTTGTTACTCTGTGTGTCATAAATTGTTTTGTTACTCTGTGTGTCAGAAATTGTTTTAACATTCATAGTGAAACAGTTCACTAATATTTTATTAACAATTAGTAGTAGTTAGTCATAAGTGAGATTTTGAGCAGCTCAATGGCATTATTAAACTGTTCTGTGTTCAAATCTAGTTATTTCTCAGCTATGCTGTAAGAGAAACATCAAGCGTTTGCATTTGCAGTGACAAGAACTGAACAGTAGCTATATTGAGTATTTGCCCATATTCACCTTCTTATGTCTACATGTGCAAAATTTTTCGTGGATGTGTTGAATTCAACAGTCACAAAAAATTGTCTACCTAACAGAGAGATTGGCCCCTTCCCCCATCCCCACAAAGACATCAGACAATAGAAAGGTGTAGAGAGGTTTGAAAATATTACTTGTCTAAACAAAAACAAATCACTGATTACATTGTGTCCTTCCATATTAGTATTGCTGATAGCCAGGACGACTGGGGCATTGATGTTTCTCATGTGGAAGAGGAGCATCCATGTAGAGAATTGTTCCCTCCTGCTTGCATGGATGTGAACTGTGATGTAAGTACTGACAACTGATGTAAGTACTGACAACCAGGTAGTGACTATTATCTTTGTCATCAGGAGCATTTACCTTCCTCATGTCAGTTCGGGGGGGGGGCCTATTTTATGGGACCTAGTAAAGACCCACTGCCCCCCTCCACCCCCAGTAATCATGTCATTTCTGGGGACCTATTTTAGGGGACCAAATAAAGACCCACCATCTAATCTCTCTCTCCCCCCCCCCCCCCCCCCCCCCCCAGTCTACATGCAAACCTCAAATTCCGAAACAAGACCGAAGTCGAGAAGTGGACAAACAACCAAAACCTTCTGCTGGAGGCTACAGCTGTGGAGTGCTAAGCATAAGAAGAAAAAAACAGCAGGCAGTTCAATGTCTCTGAGATCTCATGTTCTCAACATCTCTGGGAGGCAGTACATTCAGTATGTCTGCCACCGTCCACACTTCTTCCTCCCCTAACTACTGCCAACACGGCCAGTCTGTGGGCTCTTTCATTTCTCTTCACCCCAGCATTACCTGGTTTATACAGCTAAGATAGTTTCTTGAAGTGGGACTTCTAGATGTTAACCTATTCTAATCTGTTATTGGGGTCAATCAGAGATGCTAAGAAGTGAAACTGTCACTTACCATGCATGTTGTATTACATTTAAAAACAGTTACCTGGGCTCACGGGTTGATCAAGCCTAGAACAGATACCAGGAAACTTTCTGGAAGGCAAAGGTAGCAGCCAAGAAGTTGACTACATTATCTGTTGAGCTATCTTTACAAATGGGGAGCCAGCACTGGATACCCAGTGTGTCTGGAAGCTGGTGATGAGGCAACACATTCAATTGAAAAACACCCTGATCAAACATTGAAACGATTACTAGTTTCTGCTGGTGATGGGGTAGCACACTCCATGTGAAATCTCACTGATCAAACATTGAAATGATTACCAGTTTCTGCTGGTGATGGGTGGCACACTCCATGTGAAATCTCACTGATTAAACATTGAAATGATTACCAGTTTCTGCTGGTGATGGGGTAGCACACTCCATGTGAAATCTCACTGATCAAACATTGAAATGATTACTAGTTTCTGCTGGTGATGGGGTAGCACACTCCATGTGAAATCTCACTTATCAAACATTGATATAACTGCCAGTTTCTGCTGGTGATGGGGTAGCACACTCCATGTGAAATCTCACTGATCAAACATTGAAATGATTACCAGTTTCTGCTGGTGATGGGGTAGCACACTCCATGTGAAATCTCACTGATCAAACATTGAAATAACTGCCAGGTTAGCTAGTGATGGGGTAGCACACTCCATGTGAAATCTCACTGATCAAACATTGAAATAACTGCCAGGTTAGCTGGTGATGGGGTAGCACACTCCATGTGAAATCTCACTGATCAAACATTGAAATGATTACCAGTTTCTGCTGGTGATAGGGTAGCACACTCCACGTGAAATCTCACTGATCAAACATTGAAATAACTGCCAGGTTGGCTCGTGATGGGGTAGCACACTCCATGTGAAATCTCAATGATCAGACATTGAAATAACTGCCAGGTTGACTGGTGATGGGGTAGCACACTCCATGTGAAATATCACTGATCAAACATTGAAATAACTGCCAGGTAGGCTGGGAATAATGCTCACTGGTTTCATGCATTTGTTGATCTTCTTCCTCTTCTTCTTTTTTCTACTGGACTTTTTTCTAACGGTGCCATGGTAAGAAGAGATCTCTGAAATGGGCTCCTCTGTTCACTTCATATATAACACTTTTGAGCGTCTCTGATATTTATGCGGTCAATATTTGTATAGTCGACCTCTGGCTCTGTTACCGCTATATCTGCATAACATTACAGCGGTGAATGCCAGAGGTCAACCATGAAAAAGATATTAATAAATGCAAGGAATTAGTATGTGGGTTAGAGTTGAGATATTGACCTGCAGTTGTTGTCAGATCTGTTACTACCTGTTACTGTGGGCTCATTTCCAGGAGTCATCAGAAACACTTCTGCCATACAGTGTTGTGAGTATTGAGTGTCAGCCAACTAAGACAGACATCTACAGATTAATTATAATGATAATTTGCCAATTTTATTCATGAATTTATGTATATTTTCAGTGTGTTTATAATGTTCTTTTCTTTATGGTTAACATAATTCTGACAAGTTAGATGAGAATGCAGTGTTCAGTGATAATTGGTTTTACAGTGGCTAAATACATGAATGTATGTTGTCCTGTAGCTGGACGCACCAAGAAGCAGTATCTAATGTTAGGCTGGTCAGAGACAGGGATCAGTCTGTAAGGGATATAAATCATATTGCCTGGATACATGAATGTATGTTCTTCTGTAATTGCTCACACCAAGAAGCAGTATCTAAAGTTAGGCTGGTCAGAGACAGGGGTCAGTCTGTGAAGGACAGAAATCATATTGCCTGGATACATGAATGTATGTTGTACTGTAATTGCTCACACCAAGAATCAGTATCTAAAGTTAGGCTGGTCAGAGACAGGGTTCAGTCTGTGAGGGACAGAAATTGTATTGCCTGGATACATGAATGTATGTTGTCCTGTAATTGCTCACACCAAGAAGCAGTATCTAAAGTTAGGCTGGTCAGAGACAGGGATCAGTCTGTGAGGGACATAAATTGTTTTGCCCTTCAGACAGACTAAATTCACATTAGGTCATGACACAATCAAATGTGTTCCCTTCATTGCTACATTTCCTTTCCAGATAGTTTCTCAAACATTCTACTCTGACTTTTTCTCTTATGACATATTTCCTGATTTGATCTCTTCTGGTCACTCTTGCTGCCCTTCTTAGTCATCTCATTTCCATGGTAACTGATGTCTTAAGTAAACTAAAGTTAGTTGTGTATCCTTTGCAGGACGTTGCAGAACCAACCCCAGCATTTTTGGCTTTTTTTTTTTTTCTAGGCAAATTTTACCTTCCTTTGTACACTACAAACAATAAAACCAGTTGCAGAATTCTTAGGTAGAATTCTCACAGAAGTTGGAAGCTGAGAAATGAAAACTTTCATAGCTTTTACTGTTGTATGTATGTTTCTTGGAATCTGTGGCTCAGGTGTTGCAAATTATGGGAAACTTGGTTTGATCCCAGCTGTGGGCAATTGGGCAGCAGACAGCCTTGGTTTTAAAAGTACTATTAGGACCTGACCCTTCAGAAAACAGGGACAAACTATTGAATGTAAAATTGCCTAGTAAAATCTCACACAGCCAAAATATGTTGGAACTGGTTCTGCAACGTCCTGTAAAGGACACACAACTTACTTATGTAAGATAATTTCCAGGACTTGTCCTGTCTCAGTTGACTTCAGGATTCAATGACAGAAACATGGTTTGCAGGATTGATAATGAGGATGAGGTTCTTGATAACAACAGACAAACAGCTGCCCTTCATGCTGTGGAAAACTTTGGTTAGTTTTATTTAGTTGTTTGTGCTATGAACTGTGTACACCACACACTGCAGTTACTATTGTCTGTGTAGACTACACACTGCAGTTACTATTGTCTGTGTAGACTACACACTGCAGTTACTATTGTCTGTGTAGACTACACACTGCAGTTACTATTGTCTGTGTAGAATACACACTGCAGTTACTATTGTCTGTGTAGACTACACACTGCAGTTACTATTGTCTGTGTAGACTACACACTGCAGTTACTATTGTCTGTGTAGACTACACACTGCAGTTACTATTGTCTGTGTAGACTACACACTGCAGTTACTATTGTCTGTGTAGACTACACACTGCAGTTACTATTGTCTGTGTAGACTACACACTGCAGTTACTATTGTCTGTGTAGACCACACACTGCAGTTACTATTGTCTGTGTAGACTACACACTGCATTTACTATTGTCTGTGTAGACTACACACTGCAGTTACTATTGTCTGGGTAGGACACTGTTGAATAAGTAAAGCACTCTGTTCCATGGCATAGGGCATGTTGGGCTGATCCTATGCTGCATTCTTATTTGTTTTGGCTACTTCCCTTATTCCAAATAGTTTTAGTTTCTGTTTTGAATGATAAATTGATTTTTGCTCTGTGTGTGTGTATGTGTGTGTGGGTGTGTGGAATATAGAGAGAGAGAGAGGAGAGAGAGATATTGATAAATTGATTTTGTGCAATGTGTGTGAGTGCGTGGGTGGGCATGTGTCTGTGAGAGAGAGAGGAGAGAGAAGAGAGAACTAGATAAATTGATTTTGTCAACTTTGTGTGTGCTTGCGCGCGCGCGCGCGCGTGTGTGTGTGTGTGTGTGCGTGCGTGCGCGCGCACCCGCCCGCCCTTCCGCCCGTGTGCGTGTATGCGTGCGTGCGC